ACTCACCACACGTCCCTGCACTCACCACACGTCCCTGCACTCACCACACGTCCCTGCACTCACCACACGTCCCTGCACTCACCACACGTCCCTGCACTCACCACACGTCCCTGCACTCACCACACGTCCCTGCACTCACCACACGTCCCTGCACTCACCACACGTCCCTGCACTCACCACACGTCCCTGCACTCACCACACGTCCCTGCACTCACCACACGTCCCTGCACTCACCCAGCACACCAGGTGCCATGGCCATCAGAGTCCCGCGGGGACTCAAAGTTGTCGATGAGCTCAATATTCTTGCTATCAAGCCCCGCGCGAAAGATGCCCCCTCCGATGATCTTGTTGTTACAAGCGAAGTCGCTTGTAGTGGGACACGTGCCCGCCCACCCGGCAGGGAGCGTGCTGCTGTAGCCCTGGTGGGGGGGAGGATGTGGGGTGCAGGGGTAGTGACTGAGTGGGTGGAGGGGCAGTGTAGTGGTGGGGCGGTGGGAGGTTAGCAGGAGCACAACAGGCAAGTGGGACAGGAAGGCTGGAAGGCTGGAGGGGAAGAGCAGTAGTGGGTTAATGTGACCAGTAATAGGGTGCTGGTGACTGGGTCGTGTCACATGCCAAACCACCCGCAAGGAAGGGAGCATGCAGCTGTAGCCATGTCAGGGACAAGCAAGGTGGGGGTTGGAGGAGGTGGGTAGATAAGTTGGAAAAAGCGCTTGGAGCCCTGAGAAACGTGTGTGAAACAGCTAGCGCGAACAGTGAGGTTCGGGTCATAAGAAACAGTGAGAGTGGGCTCATAAGGTGAACAGTGAGGATGGGCTTATAAGGTGAGCAGTGAGGGTGGGCGTATAAGGTGAGGTGAGCAGTGAGGGTGGGCTCTCAGCGTACTGTGTCGTCAAAGGAGGGGTGCTCCGGCCACACACCGCTGTCCACAAACCCAATCACCGTGCCCTCGCCACCGTCGCTCGACGCTCCAGCCGGAGTGGCAGCAGCAGTAGTAGCGGCGGAAGCAGGAGTTGTAGCAGCAGGAGCAGTGGGAGTGGCAGCAACGGGAGCAGCAGCAGCAGCAGCAGCAGAAGGGAGGGCGTCGGGCAGCTTGAAGGACTTGTACGCATCGGTGCTGCTAGTGGCGCGGCGCGTGATGGTGCGAGAGGGCGTGACGGACGCCACCGAGGGGTGCCGCCTCATACGCTGCACCTGCGCTGCCGTGAGGATCGCTGCAAAGCCGTTGTCTGTGTGCTTGTAGCTGATGGGGAAGGGAGCGCGTGCAGCGGGGGGGAGAGGCAAGGAAAGGGGGCAAAGAGTGAACTTGTGCGAGTCGGTATCTCGGTGGTGGTGCGGGCGGGGTGTACAAGTGATGGATACGCCTTGTGCGGCAGTCGAGGGGAGGAAGTGGGGGCCACGGGATGAACTTGTACGAGTCCCCCACATTCCCCTCACGCTCACCTGTAGAGCATCTTCCCCGCGTCCACCCCGCTGTCTCTCAGCACGGCCTGCTGCATGCGCTGCAGCAGCTGCTTGAACGCCCTCACGCCCGGCGCCCTCATGTTCAACCGCGGCCGCCGGCGAGCCCGACGGCTGGTCCCCCCTGAACCGCTGGCAGTGACAGCAGCCGCAGCCGTTACAGGAGCACCAGAAGCAGCGCCAACGCCACCGTTGCTTGCAACAGAGGAGTTTGAGCGAGCTGCCGCGCCGGCACCGTTGGCTGCATCGGCACCGTTGGCTGCATCGGCACCGTTGGCTGCATCGGCACCGTTGGCTGCATCGTCCGCCGACGCATCTATTGTGTTGCCGTTAGGGTCGCTGTCCCACACGGCCGTTGCCGGGAAGCCGGGGATTCCGCCGCGGTACGAGGCGACTGGTGGTGCAGAGCGCAGGCGGACGATGTAGAGCGCGGAGGCATGGGGGGCGGAAGCTGCGGGGGATAGGGGAAACAGGACGAGGGGGGGATGAGGGAAAGAGGCGGCAGGAAGCGGCAGAGCAGGGGAAACATGGGGTGAGGTGGAGCGTGCGGGAGGCTTGGAAATGACAGGGGAAGGGGGAGGGAACGTAGGCGGACAACTCGTAGAATGCCGTGCGGCATCAATACGGGCAGCTCCGAGTTGTTGGCTGGGAGAGAAGGGCCAGGGAGAGATGAGAAATGGGAGTGAGTGGGGGAAGGGAGGGAGCATACTAGGCTGAGGATGTAAAGGGGATGCTATGAGCCTGATTATTTTTTTATTCGCCATGGTGTGTGGCCGTTTGCTCACCAGCGTTGGTGGGGCGGGAGAGCGTTCCGGTTAGAGTGAGGAGGAGCGATTGGAGGACAAGAAAAGCCCATGATCGACAATGCCGTTCCTCATAAAGCAACGAATGTTGTTTCTCAGCATGCGAGTGTTGCTTAAGAGAAGCCATAGAGAGATTGTTGTAGCAGCAGGAGAACGGCGGTAGATTTGAAAAGAAAATGACAAAGAAAATGCTGCGGCACTCGGAGATTTATCCTCGAGACTCTAGCTGCTGTCGCTACGACTGCTCCAGAAAGGGTGGTACCTCGTGAAATCAGTTGAAATCAGTTGAACCTCGGGCGATGAAGCTAGATCGCCTTCTGGGGGATGTCCGTGGGTTGCACGGAGTTACATCAAGCGTTACAAAAGTGCATCTCTTTGTGTCCAGCCTGGCAGCTCCCTCCCACGTTGCGCCAGACTTACCACACGTGCCGCCAACCGACACTTGCGTGTGCGACCGTTTGAGGAAATGCGGAACCTCGCGCCCAATCAACTCTGCATGCACGACTCCCGGCGATCGTGTGAAGTCTTCGCACGCTGGGAGCCTGTCAATTTACGCGACGTCCAGATTCGTTACCCCTCGACGTCAGCATAGTGCCAAGTCATGGGACGTGTCATGTGCAATTCCCGAACTTTGATTTCCGGACTCCCGGACATCCCGTGAAGGCAATTTAAAGTCTTCCCTTTCCCCCCTTGCCTCGCTTTCCTCCCTGACCTCATCGTCATGGCTCTTTGCTCTCTGCCTTGCTGGCACGACTATGGTCGTAGAGGTTCCTGCTAGGTCGTGCGGCTCAGGTGGAATGCCGAAGTCACATGTAATACAACAGTTGTGCAACGAGTCTCAACAACGGACAATGAGTCAAATCAGCTCAACAACGCACACTGACTCAAATCAGCTCAACAACGCACACTGACTCAAATCCGCTCTACAACGCACAACGACTCTAATCAGCTCAACAACGCACAATGACTACAATAAACTCGACAACGCACATGACTTCGAACGACCCTGCTGGTGCATGCTTTCATCCCAAACACTCAGCACCAAAATGAAGGGTATGTTGGGGAACCCTCGCGAGGTTACCCCATTATTATGTCGCTCAAGGACCCAACGAGAAACATGAGAAGAACAACGACCATCGAAAACGAATCATAAAACAACAGAGACTAAAAACAAAAATAATTAAACAAGACGAACGCTTCCGTAACGTCAGTAGTCCAATGGTTAGGATATTTGCCTTCCAAGCAAAAGATCCGGGTTCGATTCCCGGCTGACGTACATCGCCTTATTGACGTCGTGACAAATTTACGAACTTTACATTTCCCTATGCATTTTTGTTGCCACGCTGTAAAACGTCTTTCTTCAGCGTTTCTCTTTCCACCGCCGCCATTCCAGCCATTCCTCGCCTCACCGCGCAGCGCCCCTCATGACGCCTTCCGAATGCCTTTCTCGAGAACGCCGTCTCCCGTATTCCTCCTGATTGCTACCTGAGCCAACCTCCTGAAACCCCCATTCTCTTCCATTCCAGAAACGTTAGCGAATCAGCTGAACGAAAAGGAACCGTCTTACCATCCGCGCCAGCCGCAGGTTATCCGGCCGGCACCGAGGAGGTTTTGCGAGTCGTTTAAATCAGCGGCGGGTGTTCTCGGCTCCGCGCGGCGCGGCATGACCCAGAAATTGCCCGCGCCAGACGTGGAAAGAGGGGGGAGCGGAGGGAGTGGCGGGGGGAGCGGGGAAAGCGGCGGGGGAAGCGCAGAGGACGTTGCAATCGTCCTTATCACAGCAGCTGAAAATGCGGCTGTCAGGATCGACGATGCCGACGTGGCAAGTCAGGCGATTCGGGAGCCTCCTACTGCCGGATCGGCTTCGCCTCCCGCGTCCATGTCCATCCGCGCCGTCAGCCGACGCGGCTCGCAGGGTAGTCCTCAGAACGTGACACGTGGCGGTCAAAGCAGTCAAACAGAGCAGCAAAGGAGAAAACGGAGCAGCCGAACAGAAATTTCGAAACGAGCAGATCCCAAGGTGCAGTTGGCGAGCCAATCAGAGCGAAGAGGGCTCATGACAGGGACACTATCTACGGGGAAGCGTCCAGTGTTGCCACGTGGCGCAATGCAGTTGGTCGTGGATCCGTACAACCTGTGGGGCAGCCGGGTAGATGCGCGGAAGGTTCCTCTGAAGCCGTTTGTTGTGCGGTATGGTGACACTCTGGCCGCCCTCGCCGTGAGATTCAGGTGAGGCAGGGGAGGTGGGAGCGGTGCAAATGGGTCCACGTCGGTCCAACTGGGTGCAAGCTGTTTGTTGTGCGGTACTGGACACGCTGGCCGCCCTCGCTGTGAGATTCAGGTGAAAGAGGGAGGTGCAAGCGGTGCAAGTGGGTGCAATCGGGTGCAGTCGTGTTGTAGGGATGGAGGCGCTGTTCGTTTTCTGGTGCTTCTTGTAACCTGAACGCATGCCACCAATGGCAGTACCATACTGATCATCAGACATGTTGATAGAGGTGTTTGTTAGAGCTTCTTGTAACGAGAAGAGTGCTGCCTGCTTCTAACGGGGATGGAACCATTTGCATTAGTAAAGGGCAATGCTTTTGTTCGTGTGCCGGACAAACAGGACCCTATCCTCTTCCACATGCCATTCTCAGATTGTATGAACACTACTCCTGCTTTGTCTGACAAATAAACTATGCTCTTTGGCCATGCGTCCTTTTTCATTGAAACCTCCTCTTCTGTGACTGTGTGCAGTGTGACTATACGCGAGTTGCAGAGAATAAACGGGATGCAGTCAGATGCCTTATATGAAGGCGCGGTGCTGCTTGCACCTAAAGGTACATCACATCACATTATTGCATGATCATCATCGCATGATCATCATCGCATATTTTCCTCTCCTGCCTGACGTGCGATCCGGTCACTGCTGCACCAACCGCCTCCACTTCTATCTCCCATCCGCTATCCACTTCCCTTTCCCCCGACCTTCCCCCCTTCCGCTTTCCCCCTTCCGCTTCCCCCCTTCTCCCCTTCCGCTTTCCCCCTTCCCCCCTCGATTTCCCCCGCTCCACCCCTTCCTCTTCTCCAGGCGCCATCACCCCCTCTCCCCCTGACGTGCTACACAGTCGCCACCACATTAGCTGCCGTCACCTCTATCACCCATCTCCCCATTTTCCCACACCCTCCCCCCCCAACTCGCCGTCCCCCTACCCATCCCCCCCACACTCACCTCCCCCTTCCAGGGCCCATCAACAACCCTCCCCTTGACGTGCGCCCTGGCCTGCGCCGCACCAACCGCCTGCTCTTCGGTCGCCCATCCCCAACCAGCCCGCTCATTCCCTCTCCCCTTGCCCCTTATCCCCCCTTCCTCCCCCCTGCTCCAGGCGCCATACCCCCCCCTGCCCCTTGACGTGCGCCCTGGCCTCCGCCGCACCAACCGCCTGCAGATGTAGCCCTCCCTACCCCCCGTGTTTTGAGTCGACTCAAAACCCTACCCCCTGTGCCCTGCTCTTCCCCCCCTTTTCTCCAGGCGCCATCACCCCCCCTCCCCTTGACGTCCGCCCTGGCCTCCGCCGCACCAACCGCCTGCTCTTCTCGCGCCTGTGGGTCCGCCCACCAGCCCTCGGCCAACCACAGCGCGACACGTGGCGCTTCCACCCTGGCACACGGCACCGGCTGAACCAAGCAAAAGGCAGGCAGAGGGACGGATGGGATGGCCTTTGGCACGCAGTGATACTGGGATGCTGGGATGAGGGCCTGTGTGTAGGCATTTGCTAGCACCATGCATTTGCTAGCACCATGCATTTGCTAGCACCATGCATTTGCTAGCACCATGCATTTGCTAGCACCATGCATTTGCTAGCACCATGCATTTGCTAGCACCATGCATTTGCTAGCACCATGCACATGCTAGCACCATGCATATGCTAGCACCATGCATATGCTAGCACCATGCATATGCTAGCACCATGCATATGCTAGCACCATGCATATGCTAGCACCATGCATTTGCTAGCACCATGCACATGCTAGCACCATGCATTTGCTAGCACCATGCATTTGCTAGCACCATGCACATGCACATGCTAGCAGCATTACCCACCAGTGTGGCTTCGACCTCCGTTGCTGACCTTCCAGGCTTAGGGTAAAGGATAGGCATAACTGGGAAGAAGGCAACGCATTGCATTTGCTTCTTGTAACCGAGCAAGAGCTTCGTTCCCCATTGTTTAGATCTTTCTTTCGAGATTTCTCACGAGTTTTCTTCCCTCCTTTTGTGCTGGCTGGCTGCCTTCCCCCGCCACCCAGCAACCCGAAACTTGTCACTCTCCTTTCCTCCCTTCCACCTGCGCTTCTCAACCCCTGCTGCAAATGGATGCAGCGCGGTGGGATGAGGCACGGAGGAAGGGGTTTCACCGGCTGCTGCAGGGGTGGCTGCCTCTGCGCTCGCCCATGGATGGCTGCTCTGACTGGTGAGGCTCGCATGGGACGGTACAGGGCAGGGCTGTATTGTCGTTGTGCAAGGGTACAGGGCAGGGCTGTATTGTGCAAGGGTACAGGGCAGGGGTTGTACCGTCATGGAGTAAAAAGGCAGGGTTCATTCTTTAGGTGTTTATTTTCACACTCCTCCTGTTTCCCCTTCTAACCTCCATTCTCGTACCGCTCCATGCATCCATGTGCTCCATGCATCCATGTGCTCCATGCATCCATGTGCTCCATGCATCCATGTGCTCCATGCATCCATGTGCTCCATGCATCCATGTGCTCCATGCATCCATGTGCTCCATGCATCCATGTGCTCCATGCATCCATGTGCTCCATGCATCCATGTGCTCCATGCATCCATGTGCTCCATGCATCCATGTGCTCCATGCATCCATGTGCTCCATGCATCCATGTGCTCCATGCATCCATGTGCTCCATGCATCCATGTGCTCCATGCATCCATGTGCTCCATGCATCCATGTGCTCCATGCATCCATGTGCTCCATGCATCCATGTGCTCCATGCATCCATGTGCTCCATGCATCCATGTGCTCCATGCATCCATGTGCTCCATGCATCCATGCGCTCCATGCATCCATGTGCTCCATGCATCCATGCGCTCCATGCATCCATGCGCTCCATGCATCCATGCGCTCCATGCATCCATGCGCTCTATGCATCCATGCGCTCCATGCATCCATGCGCTCCATGCATCCATGCGCTCCATGCATCCATGCGCTCCATGCATCCATGCGCTCCATGCATCCATGCGCTCCATGCATCCATGCGCTCCATGCATCCATGTGCTCCATGCATCCATGTGCTCCATGCATCCATGTGCTCCATGCATCCATGTGCTCCATGCATCCATGTGCTCCATGCATCCATGTGCTCCATGCATCCATGTGCTCCGTGCATCCATGTGCTCCATGCATCCATGTGCTCCATGCATCCATGTGCTCCATGCATCCATGTGCTCCATGCATCCATGTGCTCCATGCATCCATGCGCTCCATGCATCCATGCGCTCCATGCATCCATGCGCTCCATGCATCCATGCGCTCTATGCATCCATGCGCTCCATGCATCCATGCGCTCCATGCATCCATGCGCTCCATGCATCCATGCGCTCCATGCATCCATGCGCTCCATGCATCCATGCGCATGTGCTCCATGCATCCATGTGCTCCGTGCATCCATGTGCTCCATGCATCCATGTGCTCCATGCATCCATGTGCTCCATGCATCCATGTGCTCCATGCATCCATGTGCTCCATGCATCCATGTGCTCCATGCATCCATGTGCTCCATGCATCCATGTGCTCCATGCATCCATGTGCTCCATGCATCCATGTGCTCCATGCATCCATGTGCTCCATGCATCCATGTGCTCCATGCATCCATGTGCTCCATGCATCCATGTGCTCCATGCATCCATGTGCTCCATGCATCCATGTGCTCCATGCATCCATGTGCTCCATGCATCCATGTGCTCCATGCATCCATGTGCTCCATGCATCCATGTGCTCCATGCATCCATGTGCTCCATGCATCCATGTGCTCCATGCATCCATGTGCTCCATGCATCCATGTGCTCCATGCATCCATGTGCTCCATGCATCCATGTGCTCCATGCATCCATGTGCTCCATGCATCCATGTGCTCCATGCATCCATGTGCTCCATGCATCCATGTGCTCCATGCATCCATGTGCTCCATGCATCCATGTGCTCCATGCATCCATGTGCTCCATGCATCCATGTGCTCCATGCATCCATGTGCTCCATGCATCCATGTGCTCCATGCATCCATGTGCTCCATGCATCCATGTGCTCCATGCATCCATGTGCTCCATGCATCCATGTGCTCCATGCATCCATGTGCTCCATGCATCCATGTGCTCCATGCATCCATGTGCTCCATGCATCCATGTGCTCCATGCATCCATGTGCTCCATGCATCCATGTGCTCCATGCATCCATGTGCTCCATGCATCCATGTGCTCCATGCATCCATGTGCTCCATGCATCCATGTGCTCCATGCATCCATGTGCTCCATGCATCCATGTGCTCCATGCATCCATGTGCTCCATGCATCCATGTGCTCCATGCATCCATGTGCTCCATGCATCCATGTGCTCCATGCATCCATGTGCTCCATGCATCCATGTGCTCCATGCATCCATGTGCTCCATGCATCCATGTGCTCCATGCATCCATGTGCTCCATGCATCCATGTGCTCCATGCATCCATGTGCTCCATGCATCCATGTGCTCCATGCATCCATGTGCTCCATGCATCCATGTGCTCCATGCATCCATGTGCTCCATGCATCCATGTGCTCCATGCATCCATGTGCTCCATGCATCCATGTGCTCCATGCATCCATGTGCTCCATGCATCCATGTGCTCCATGCATCCATGTGCTCCATGCATCCATGTGCTCCATGCATCCATGTGCTCCATGCATCCATGTGCTCCATGCATCCATGTGCTCCATGCATCCATGTGCTCCATGCATCCATGTGCTCCATGCATCCATGTGCTCCATGCATCCATGTGCTCCATGCATCCATGTGCTCCATGCATCCATGTGCTCCATGCATCCATGTGCTCCATGCATCCATGTGCTCCATGCATCCATGTGCTCCATGCATCCATGTGCTCCATGCATCCATGTGCTCCATGCATCCATGTGCTCCATGCATCCATGTGCTCCATGCATCCATGTGCTCCATGCATCCATGTGCTCCATGCATCCATGTGCTCCATGCATCCATGTGCTCCATGCATCCATGTGCTCCATGCATCCATGTGCTCCATGCATCCATGTGCTCCATGCATCCATGTGCTCCATGCATCCATGTGCTCCATGCATCCATGTGCTCCATGCATCCATGTGCTCCATGCATCCATGTGCTCCATGCATCCATGTGCTCCATGCATCCATGTGCTCCATGCATCCATGTGCTCCATGCATCCATGTGCTCCATGCATCCATGTGCTCCATGCATCCATGTGCTCCATGCATCCATGTGCTCCATGCATCCATGTGCTCCATGCATCCATGTGCTCCATGCATCCATGTGCTCCATGCATCCATGTGCTCCATGCATCCATGTGCTCCATGCATCCATGTGCTCCATGCATCCATGTGCTCCATGCATCCATGTGCTCCATGCATCCATGTGCTCCATGCATCCATGTGCTCCATGCATCCATGTGCTCCATGCATCCATGTGCTCCATGCATCCATGTGCTCCATGCATCCATGTGCTCCATGCATCCATGTGCTCCATGCATCCATGTGCTCCATGCATCCATGTGCTCCATGCATCCATGTGCTCCATGCATCCATGTGCTCCATGCATCCATGTGCTCCATGCATCCATGTGCTCCATGCATCCATGTGCTCCATGCATCCATGTGCTCCATGCATCCATGTGCTCCATGCATCCATGTGCTCCATGCATCCATGTGCTCCATGCATCCATGTGCTCCATGCATCCATGTGCTCCATGCATCCATGTGCTCCATGCATCCATGTGCTCCATGCATCCATGTGCTCCATGCATCCATGTGCTCCATGCATCCATGTGCTCCATGCATCCATGTGCTCCATGCATCCATGTGCTCCATGCATCCATGTGCTCCATGCATCCATGTGCTCCATGCATCCATGTGCTCCATGCATCCATGTGCTCCATGCATCCATGTGCTCCATGCATCCATGTGCTCCATGCATCCATGTGCTCCATGCATCCATGTGCTCCATGCATCCATGTGCTCCATGCATCCATGTGCTCCATGCATCCATGTGCTCCATGCATCCATGTGCTCCATGCATCCATGTGCTCCATGCATCCATGTGCTCCATGCATCCATGTGCTCCATGCATCCATGTGCTCCATGCATCCATGTGCTCCATGCATCCATGTGCTCCATGCATCCATGTGCTCCATGCATCCATGTGCTCCATGCATCCATGTGCTCCATGCATCCATGTGCTCCATGCATCCATGTGCTCCATGCATCCATGTGCTCCATGCATCCATGTGCTCCATGCATCCATGTGCTCCATGCATCCATGTGCTCCATGCATCCATGTGCTCCATGCATCCATGTGCTCCATGCATCCATGTGCTCCATGCATCCATGTGCTCCATGCATCCATGTGCTCCATGCATCCATGTGCTCCATGCATCCATGTGCTCCATGCATCCATGTGCTCCATGCATCCATGTGCTCCATGCATCCATGTGCTCCATGCATCCATGTGCTCCATGCATCCATGTGCTCCATGCATCCATGTGCTCCATGCATCCATGTGCTCCATGCATCCATGTGCTCCATGCATCCATGTGCTCCATGCATCCATGTGCATGCATCCATGCATCCATGTGCTCCATGCATCCATGTGCTCCATGCATCCATGTGCTCCATGCATCCATGTGCTCCATGCATCCATGTGCTCCATGCATCCATGTGCTCCATGCATCCATGTGCTCCATGCATCCATGTGCTCCATGCATCCATGTGCTCCATGCATCCATGTGCTCCATGCATCCATGTGCTCCATGCATCCATGTGCTCCATGCATCCATGTGCTCCATGCATCCATGTGCTCCATGCATCCATGTGCTCCATGCATCCATGTGCTCCATGCATCCATGTGCTCCATGCATCCATGTGCTCCATGCATCCATGTGCTCCATGCATCCATGTGCTCCATGCATCCATGTGCTCCATGCATCCATGTGCTCCATGCATCCATGTGCTCCATGCATCCATGTGCTCCATGCATCCATGTGCTCCATGCATCCATGTGCTCCATGCATCCATGTGCTCCATGCATCCATGTGCTCCATGCATCCATGTGCTCCATGCATCCATGTGCTCCATGCATCCATGTGCTCCATGCATCCATGTGCTCCATGCATCCATGTGCTCCATGCATCCATGTGCTCCATGCATCCATGTGCTCCA